TAGCATGAAGACAATTGGGAGTTTCCTGGTGGAATGTCACATTCCTGCTATCAAGCGTCCTTGTTAGTGAGATTTGGGTTTACAAGAAATTTAACTTTATTTACATTTCCTTCTACCTCAGCCTCCTTCAGTTTTGTTTATGGAGGGGAGGGTGATGTTAGGGCTTGAGGAACTGAGTTATATGTGCCTCTGGAAATTGGGCTATTGATAAGGTAACTTATTTGTTGTAAATCTCTAGGACATTTGTAAACCAAGGGAGACTCCTGCCTTGCAGGATTGTGATCTCTGCAAGTTAACTATTTGTTTTTCTTTTAGGGCAGCCAGGGGTGCCTTAGGAAAGTCACACATACCACCGAGAGGAGCAGGTGGAGAGGGGGTGCAAGGTGCCAGCCTTTGCTTTGTCCTCAGCCAGCCTCCTGCTCCCTCATCACCTGCTCAGCGGGGAGCTTGCTTCTTCCTCCCTGCCTCTGCCCCTCCCCTGCTAGTGCTCCCCCTCTAGCGCTCTCTCTCAAGTAAGTTAAATCTTTAAAAAACCACAACTAAAGGGGCGCCTGGGTGGCTCAGTGGGTTAAGCCTCTGCCTTCGGCTCAGGTCATGATCCCAGGGTCCTGGGATTGAGCCCCGAATCTCTCTGCTCAGAGTGAGCCTGCTTCCTCCTATCTCTCTACCTGCCTCTCTGCCTACTTGTGATCTCTCTCTTTCTGTCAAATAAATAAATAAAAATCTTAAAAAACAAAAACAAAACCCCACAACTATGAATTAATGTTTTTATAGCGACATTAGGAGTTGTAGCTTTGTTTAGGGAAGCAGTTTTATGGGGATATAATTCATATGCCACACAGTTCGTCCATTTAAAATATACAGTTGAGTGCCTTTAGATATGTCCATGGGGTCATGGAACCATCTCCACAATCAATTCTAGCACATTCTCAGTACCTAATAGAAACGCTATACCCTTTAGTCAACACCCTCAAAATACATCTATCCCCACTGCCCTGGGCAACTACTTATCTATTCTGTGTCTGTAGGGATTTGCCTGTTCTGTACCTTCCATACCAATGGAATTATAAACGTGCTTGTATGTGACTGGATTCTTTTACTTAGCATGTTTCAAGATTCCATGTTGTACGTATCAGTCCTTCATTTCCTTTAATGATTCTAACACTCGACTGTATGGATAGACCACATATCTTCATTGATTCCTTAGCTGAAGGACATCTGGATAGGTTCTACTTCTGAATTAATTTAAAAATGTTAATTACACAATTCGCTCCAGGGTGCCCATCTGGTTCAGTTGGAAGAGTGTGTGACTCTTGATCTCAGGGTTGTGACTTTTGGAGCCCCACGTTGGATGTAGAGATTAACTTAAAAAAAAAAAAAAAAAAAATATATATATATATATATATATATATATATAACCAATTGGCTCCAGATAAAAAGGAAAATGGCCTTATGTTGTGGTAAATAAAAGGCTGACACGGCTTGTGAAAGAATGGCTATGAGAGCCATCTCTTAAACGGTAGTGGAGGAGGCAAAAATTTATGTATTACAGAGATAACTGGTAAAAAGGCAGCTCAGGGGGAGATAGGCCTAGAGGAACTTAAAAAAAAAACAACTAGGGTTTTATTAATCTTCCTGAACTACTTGCAGCTGCACTGGTCACCTGAACGGTGGGGTCGGCCCGTGTCACAGGGAGGCTGCTGTGCAAGGTAATCCCCTCAGTGTGCACAGGGCAGCCACCGCCCTGCGAGGCAGTTTCACGCTGTCCAGCGGCACGAGGCCGTGTTTCTGTTCTCCCTTGACTCCTGGCTTTGAGAGCTGGGGAGGCTGTGGGAGGGGTGGGGTGACCTAAACTTGGCCAATTGGATCTTCCTACCTGGAACTTTAAGCCTGGATGAGTGACCCTGAGACACAGGCAGAGTGCTTCGGTTGTGGGGACAGGGCGGATGGAGTGACCACTGGAAGTGGGGCCAGCAGAGCCTAACATGGCCTGGCTGAAAAGTGTCCTTGACCGTCTCCTCCTGGGGCAAGGCTTTGGCTATGGTTCTGTTCTCTTAGCACAAGAGAATTCTGTTAGCATGAGAGAATAGCCAAGGGAAATGTGGTGAAAAAAAAAAAATGAGGATCTAGCAGCTGTATCAGTTATTAAACTTTATTATGACTAGATACCATATTATACTTTATAAGTTTGTTTAGCAGTTAAAAAGGATTAAGTAAAAAATTTGAGAAGGAACATTTAGAGACATGAAGTTTAGAAACATGAAGTTTCTCTTAGAAATTTCACACTCCTCTTTAGAACGTTTGGCTTACTTGTTCTGGAACTCGCCCTTGAATCCTTCCACTTCTTACGACCAGCAGTGCTGATGAACAGTTGGACCCCTTCTACTTTTATTAAAGTTTGTGATTTTATCCACCAATAACATTTTCCTTTCTATCTTTTAACTTTCTGTAAACTTCACAGGACAATGTTTGGCATGTACATAATAGGTATTTAATGTCGCACGTACTCTCCAGAACAAATGGATCCGTTGTTTTTACAGCAAAGGGACTATGTGAAATGATGCACCCGAACCTCCAATTTGATGGCCTTGGCCGACTGTGGTCTGTGAGTAAGAGCGACATCACTGGCCAGCTGCCTGGGTCTGGGGAACCTACCTGCACCAGAGGCAGTGATTAAGGTCTATTGGGGAAGGTGCCTCTCCTCTTACTCGCCTACTCTTTCCTTTTGTAAGGCTAGAATTTGTATCTTCTGTATAAAATGACTGCTCTGCTGTGAGGTCTTGAGTTTAAACTCCAAGGGAGGATTCGAACGGGGCCTCCAGGTAAGCTGCGAGTCAGGCACACTCCTGCCGGGCAGGCGGGTCTTAGGCCACATCACTTGGAAGGCTGCCCAGCACTGGAAGGATTGCCGGCTGCTTCGGGGCCGGATGGTCATTCCTTGTTCACTCTGCTATGGGAGAAATGTGGTACCAAGCTTGGGGTCATGTACATGTGCCTAATAGGTCAACCTACACCTCCCAGTTCCAGAATTGTGTATCCAGACTGGAAATGAATGGCCAGAGTGGAAAACATATGCAGTGCCATTCTGCTCTTTACTAGTCTGGGAGCATTGCCCTCCATTTGCCCTCACTCCTCCCAAACAGCACCTAGCACGCTTCTAGTATTCTGTTTATTACCATTCTCAATCTTATGTTCAGATGTATTTGTTGAAAGGGTAGTGAATTACAAGAGCTTTCATAACCGGGAAGAGCTATGAAGTAAATGCTGACCTTTGAGGGCCTACTCTGGGCCAAGCCCGGTTTTTGGCATTTCATACATATTTTTTTTTTTTTTTTTTAAGATTTTATTTATTTATTTGACAGAGAACGCAAGTAGGCAGAGAGAGGCAGGCAGAGAGAGAGAGAAGCAGGCTCTGCACTGAGCAGAAAGCCCAATGCGGGGCTCTATCCCAGGACCCTGGGATCATGACCTGAGCTGAAGGCAGAGGCTTTAACCCACTGAGCCACCCAGGCGCCCCGCATTTCATACATATTAACTTAATTATCAAAACCACCATGACAGGCATTTGCCTGTGTCAGTAGCTGGGGACACAGAGACAGAGAGGGTGAGTAACATGCCTCAGTCCTATGCTTGAATCTGGATGCCACCAAAACTCTCCCTATAACCTTCTAGTATTTATAAAAGTAAGGATGTTGATAACATACAGAATAACTGTGAAGCTACAATCCGAGTAGTATAGAAACTGCCAATAATTAGAGGGATGTTTAATGATATTTCAAAGCACAAAGTATGTTATCCCTCAGAAATGGGAGCTACACACAAATTCTGTGACACTAAATCATGATCAGGATAATTAGAGAAGTTTCAATTCAAACCAGTACAGATTTCAAAATATAGGGGAGAGACAGTAACTTGGGAGTTTTGTGGGTTAACTCTTCAAATACCAGAGCACATTTAACTACAAAAAAGGGAGGTGGTATCATTCAGAAGAAGAAGACCAAGAGTTTTGGTATCTTGTCTGGCTGAAAGCGAAAGAATTCTGAATGAGCAACTTGGTTGTGAACAAGAAGGTCCAGAACAGGTAAACCCTGAAAGACGACTGGTGGTGACACATAGCTCTTAGCTATGCTGTACCAGTCTTGTTTTTAATGAATCTCTATTCCTTAAAAAAATGGCCAGGGGTGAGAATGAAGACCTCTTTTTTAGTATTTGTTCTTCTCCACGGAGCCCGTGATAAAAGACACCATGCACACAGCCAGACTTCTTTCAGAAGTGGCTCTATTCCCAGGTTGGGAGGCTTCACTCTGTGACCCAACAAATCTTGCCATTTTCTCCAAGCCGTACAGCTCCACTGGCTACCAGCTGGAGGGCTGCGGGGAATATTTTGTGCTCTGCTAATTTCACTCTTTCAGACAGAGTTGCAACAGTGTCACCTCTCTTCACTGGCACAGGTTCTTGTAAAATAATCTGTCCAGCATCTACATCTTCCTGGAGGAGGAAGAAGAGGTTTTGAACATTACTTTCTAGCTAGCACAATTTACATAGAGACACAGATAATACTTTGGCAGAAAGAGACATACTCACAGCTACAAAGTGCACAGTACACCCGGTGACTGTGACGCCGGCTTCTAGGGCTTGCTCGTGGGCATTTGAACCCTTAAAAGACGGGAGCAAGGATGGGTGGATGTTGAGCATCTTCCCTGGAAATTAATGAAAACACAGTGGTCAGAATTTACAAATTCTAGGTACTCTACCAAAGGAATGTATGTTTCTCTGTTTAGAGTCAGAGTCAGGAGGAGCAGGGTTTCTCTGGGATGGGTGTTTCTTTATAGAAGACAGAAATGAAAGGGAAATAAGGGTTTTCATCTAGGAGCCATGGGCGCAGCAAGCTCCTGCCTTGTACAACTGAACACACATGAGGCTCTCTGAGTAGGCGCCTGCAGTGACTAGAAGCGGGATGGAGCGGGGCGACTCTCGCTCATGGAGCTTGTGAAGAAAACGTGGCCTGCTGCTGGCACGTGCTGTTAGAAAGAGACCGGAGAGTCCTGCACGGTGTCTACGTGCTTGACTTCTAAGCATGAAGTGGCATGCCACTTTCACGTTAAACCGCAAGGACTCTAACCATAGTCACTTAAGAAAACACGAACTCTTTGGAGAATCTATCTGTTGTCCAAACAGGGGCACAAAAAAGGACAGCAGGATACAGTCACAACTTTAGTGGAAGGGGCTAGAACATAAGGTATGTTTTCCAGAAACAATGCCTTCCTTGCCATGTATGGCAACGGTCTACACTTCTACGGAGAGGATGGACTCTCCATGTTGGGAGACAGGGGATCATTTTCTTTTGCGTCTACACAAGCAAAAATGTCTCTACTGAATTATCCATTCAGAAGATGAAATGCTAGTAATGTGAGTAACCTAACCTGTGTTAGAAAGTGATTAATTACAGCAGGCCAAAGAAAACTGATAAAGGCACAAGATAAAATGATCACTGGGTCGTTCTCTGAGCTGAGGAAATTAAATTACAACCTGTGTTAAAAGAGTCTAGTTAAACACTTCACCATTGGGTTGCTTGGGAGGCTAATGGCCCTGCAGTCTGCTTTCAGCTGATTTCTCAATGTGGTGTCACACAGGTTTTGCTTACCATCCCATTTCCTGACAAAGGGGCCAGATAAAATTCTCATGAATCCTGCAAGACAGACTATGTCTGTGGAGTACTCTTCAAGGACTTGGTCAATTGCAGTGTCAAATTCTACCCGACTTTTATATAATTTATGATTAATTACCTGTAATAGAAAAAAATCAGCACAACTTTTTCAATGAATTACCAAAAACAATTTAAAACTCAACCTGTACATAGACCATACTTGCCCTCTTTCTCATAAAGACATCCTGGAGAATGAAGTAGAAAGGCAAGCCCAGCACACACCCCAATCCAGAAATCCAAAGAATAAGCTACCCTTACAGATCGAGGTCTTGTTAGGGGTTGGGGGGCAGGTTATGAGTTTAAATACAGTCTTCAGGAAAGACACTTTTCAAAGTAACTCACTCTGGTGGGAATTCCAGCTGTCTCCGCTTTATCTAAGCCAGCCACTGCGGCTTTGTTGGAGATAACGACAACAATGTGCGCACAGCTACTTGGCTCCCTAGTACTGTCTATGAGAGCTTGCAGGTTTGATCCTGAAAGAGAAAAAAACACACAAGTAAGTTCAAGTGTCTTAATAAAGATATGTTCCATTTTGCATAGCAAATGGTCAAGATTTCTAAATAAATATCTTAGAAAAGACTGGCAAAATATGTGAGGCTTTGAAATTCCCTTTCTCTTGATGGATTAATAGCTTATGAAAATGTAGGCACTCCTGGTTCTAGGATATATAATTGGGCCTGCAAATAATATGATCAAGCACAGTAAGAGAAACCGTATAACATGATTTAAAAACTGACTGGTGGGGTGCCTGGGTGGCTCAGTGGGTTAAGCCTTTGCCTTTAGCTCAGGTCATGATACCAGGGTCCTGGGATCGAGCCCTGCATCGGGCTCTCTGCTCAGCGGGGAGCCTGCTTCTCCCTCTCTCCTTACCTGTGATCTCTCTCTGTCAAATAAATAAATAAAATCTTAAAAAAAACCTGACTAGTGAGGAATTAGCTGCTTAATTAGGCAAGAAAAATCAACTCTCTTTAAGATTTTATTTTTTTAAGCAATCCCTAACTGTGCCCAACATAGGGCTTGAACTTATAACCCTGAGATCAAAAGCCGCATGCTCTATCGACTGAGTTAGCCAGATGCCCTGAAAAATCACCCCTCTTAAGAAGTAACCACTATGGGGGCACCTGGGTGGCTCAGTGGGTAAAACGTCTGCCTTCGACTCAGGTCATAGTCACAGGGTCCTGGGATCGAGCCCCGCATTGGACTCTCTCCTCGGCGGGGAGCCTGCTTCCCTCTCCTCTCTTCCTGCCTCTCTGCCTATTTGTGATCTCTCTCTGTCAAATAAATAAATAAATAAATAAATAAATAAATAAATAAAAATCTAAAAAAAGAAAAAAAAAGAAGTAACCACTATGAACCTTATAATAGCTTTTTTTTTTTTTTTTAAACCATTAATTTGGGCCTAAAGTATATTGAAACCTTAAAATGGACTTGGAAAGCAACTATACTTCTAGTAATGTATCCTAAAGAAATAATGAGATATGCACCTAGAAATGTGCTGTATACTTACCAAAATGTTCACAGCAATGTTATTTACAATAGTGGGAAAAATAAACATGCTATCTCCATCTGAAAGAATACGACACTCTTATTATTTTATCCCTCTATCCATAAGAATCAACCATAAATTTCATATTCTTATTACCATAAAAAAAAAAAACCTCAGCTGTTTTAAGACTTTTTATCTAGAAAGCAATGACAAGAAAGTTGGATTTTCCATTTCTTCTGGTTTCTCTTTCTTCAACCATCTTCCTGATACCCTCTATTCTTCCTTTAGGTGTCTCAAAAGCCCGAGAAAAGTAGAAAGACTAAGGACACAGAATAACAAAACAGTCCTTAATGATCCCTTGCCCCACTCTACTGACAGTTTCCTCACAATCGGAAGGATTTTGGGGTGGGGGGAGTGAGCATTTCTTTTTAAAATTAATTAATTAATTATTGAGAGAGCGCCTGCATGTGAGCACATAAAGGGGGAGGGGCAGAGGGAGAAGCAGGGAGCCGGATGTGGGATTCAAGCCCAGGACCCCTGGGATCATGACCTGGGCCAAAGGCAGGCTTAACTGAAGGCAGCTACTTAACCGACTGAGCAACCCAAAGGCCCAGAAAGAGCATTTCTATAGCCCCACAGTAAAGAGGAAGGCATATCTTACCTGTTCCAGATATTAAGACAGCCACTCTTGCCTTTTTTGATTGGACAGAGAAATTATTTTTCACGGTGCCATTTTCTAATACTGATCCATTTATTTGCATGGTTTCTATCAAATTCTTGACTTTCACACGAGGAGAACCTTCATTTCAAACACATCCAATAAATAGAATGGAACTGTGAATTAACATTAATAATGGAAAGAAAAGTATCTTATGAAAACTTGAGAATACCTCATCCTGAAAATAAATTATAAAAGGACTAACAAGAAGACTAGACTTGTATTACTTAATGTTACTCACTCATAAAAACTTCCTGAAAGAGAACATTTATAATTACCTACTTCAACTAAAAGCCACAGCATACCACTATCTCCTGGCCTCAGAGGAGGCATGCAACACAAGTGAGGCCATTCAAAGATTTGACAGAGGATGCTGAGCGACAGAGGACCTCTCTTTCCTATTGCAATGTGAGCTCAAGACATCTTTCTGGTACTTGGAGAACCTGCTTGAAATGAAACCTACATAATAAACGAAAGGCATACACAGATATAACTGGCAAGGCCTGGCATCTCTTAGCTGATCTGAGTGGGTTTTCCGCCACTCTGCTTATTTCTAGTACTTCTAACAGAGTCCTGAGTATACACAACACTTGTCAGGGCGCTCGCTTCACAGTTTCCTGAACTGAACTGAATCACAAGGTAGAGCCCGAGACAAGGTCTTGCCTGTGGAAAGGCTCCTCTGGGACGGATCCCAAGAAACCAGAGGGAGGCTCTGGAAAACATGATACAGAGGACCAACAGAAGTGTCATTAAACTGGTCACCACTGTGGGCAACTGGGGCTTGATTCCACTGCGAGCCTCAAAGGAGCTATGAAGACTGCTTCAGAACTGCTCCCTTTTCTGTCCCTAAAGTGGGTATTTATTCACTCCGCTGGCTGAGGGTTGTCCTGTGGGGTGGAGCTGCGCACAGGGACTACTGCACAGAGGAGTCAGAGCCTCAGGCCGAAGTGAGGAGAAATGCGGTGGTACCAGCTTGGGCACAGTCCTGTTACAGCTGGGTAAATGCAGCTGCCCCAGCAATGGCTGGACTAAAAGGTGGGCACAGCTTCGGAGGTGGGACGGAGTTGTATTTCTGGTTATATACCCAAGAACAACGAATCAAGGAGTGATTACCTTCAGGACATGCCACCACCTTGCCAATCACCCAGGCTTCTTCCTTGTGCTGCTTAATATCTCTCAGAATCTGCTCTGCCAGATCCTTTGACACCACGAGGGCAGCCCCAATCCCACAGTTAAATGTTCTGGCCATTTCTTCCTCAGAGAGGTGTCCTTCCTGCTGTAACCATGAGAAGATCCTGGGGACCCTCCAGGTCTGGGCATCTGAAAACAGGGAAGAGTTGTCTGATTAGCCTATTGTTGCACACAAAATATAACGTGTGCATATATACAAAGCTGTGGAAATACAAGCAGCTCTGCTGTTTTACGTAGAGTAGAACTATAAACTGGCCTTCCAGAGTTTTTGGGTGGGATCCATTTGTACCTCATCCAGAATATTTTTGCTGACACACCTGGCCAGTATTAACAGTTAACTTAGGTTTTGTGGCACATTAACTAAATTCTTAGCAGTCCCTTAAAAGACTGTGTTACGAACTGAGTTCCAGTAAAGGTTTGCAAATGTTAAGCTGGGTCTTAGCGATGACCAAAATGTACCCTAAGTGTGATGAAAAACTAGGTGGCTTACATTATAGATTTAGAAGAAATGTATAGGGCACATGCGCGTACGGGGGGTAGGGGTGAGGAACTGGGTGCCACAGAGGGACAAGCAGACTTCAGGCTGAGTGTGGAGCCCAATACAAGGCTTGATCCTAGGACCCTGAGATCACAACCTGAGCTGAAATTAAGAGTCGAATGCTTAACTGATTGAGCCACCCAGGTGTTCCTTTCCATATTTACTTTAAAATTTAGATTTAGGTCTGTTATAACACAACAAAAATCTCTGATAAAAATTTTTAAGTAAAGGCATAAACACAACATACATACAATTTAAATTTGGATAGTTGTTTAGAATCTACAGTTATGGGATCAGACTTGCCAAAACTCTACTAAATTAAATATTTATTTATGATGCTCCTAAGAAAGGGAAGCCATTAGGGATTTAGCTTTTTATTAAATAATAGGATTAACCATCAGTTCCCCTTATTAATTTGGTGGATCTACTGGATAATTAGTTCTTTATTTTTATTTATTTATTTTTTAAAGTAAACTCTTCCCTCAGTGTGGGGCTTGAACGAACTCAAGACCCCAAGATAAAAGAGTCACATGCTCTACTGTGTGAGCCGGTCAGGCATACTGGATAATCAGTTCTTTAATGCTCTGGAGTTGATACAATTTTTAAGGGGCATCATATGTCCACGAACCTTCTCCTCTATCAGATTTAATTCCATTTCTACCAGCTGGGAAATGTCCGTTCTTAAAAGTTGAGCTCCAAAGATTTCGCTACAGCGGCGTTCACTGTTCTATCAACAGTCTAAAGCCAACAGCAGCACAAAACCAAATAGTGGTATACGTGTAAAAAAATGGAACACCCATCTCAAAAATGATGCTACTCTGACAGCTGGATATTGATGATAGAGTAAATGGCAGAATAAATAGCAGATTACCAAACTATGATCTCATTTTAGCAAAATGATTAACAAAGTATCGGTTTGTAAGCAAACAAACAAACAAACAAACCCTGACAGGCTGTAAGCCTGGTTTCTAAAAATGATCAGATGTCAGGAGTCATACAACCAGTTGCAAATTTAATGTTGAAAACGCCTTACCTAAATCTGTTGGTGGAGTCGGATTCCTAGAAGAAACCTCAGAGGCTGATGTAAGGGCCTGACTTTCTTTTTTACTGGGACACAGACATTTGTGTGACTCAACCACCACAGCTATTAGGAATATGGTGAAATCAACTGTACGTCATGATCCAGTTCTGACTCTTTGGGTTCTCTCCGAGCTTCATGTACTCTGACTCTACTGTTGGCTCAGCAAATCCACTCATGGGCACCTACAGCTGCTTCCAGCCTGACTGGACCAACCCACTCAAAAAAAAAAAAATTTTTTTTTAAAGATTTTATTTATTTATTTGACAGAGAGAAAGATCACAAGTAGGCAGAGAGGCACGCAGAGAGAGAAGGGGAAGCAGGCTCCCAGAGCCTGATGCGGGGCTTGATACCAGGACCCTGAGACCATGACCTGAGCTGAGGGTAGAGGCTCAACCCACTGAGCCACCCAGGCGCCCCCAATTTTTTCTTTTTTTTAAATTCGTGTTTCAAGGCCATATATACTCATACTTTGGGAGAAAAATCACACAACCACCTTCGCCTTCACGTTCAGTGCTTCTTGTCTCATTCTTGTTCCTGACCGAGTCTATCTCATTATTTACGCTTTTCCACATGCCCTCACTCCTGGGTCTGCTCATCTCGCTAACCCCTTCGTACCTCACTGGGAAAAGGGGCTACTTTATGTGAACTTCTTTAGCTTCTAGTCCGTTAAAGCAATGTATATTAGTTGACCATGATAGCTGGGGCAGTTCCTCTGTTACCCTATAAAAACAGGGATGGAAAACCCTGTTGCTCATTTTGCCATGAGTATAAGTAATGATTCCCCTTCCCTTTTACCAGTAAGTTTCTTGAAGCAGCAACCTCCATTCACTGTCCCTATTTATCTCTGCTACCCATTCCCCCCATGATCACGTGGTGGGTGGCATCTGCACTCACTGAGATGCTTTCTGAGCTGACTGAATCATACTGGTTTATTTCTAGTTCGCATCCTGTATCCCGTGGCTGCACCTGACGCCGCTGACCAGTGTCATATTGAAATCCGTGGGGTTCATACTTTTACGTGGTTCACTCCCTGCTTCTGGCTGTTCTTTTCTAGTAATTCTACCTCGGTCAACCTTCAAAGTAGACAGAACACTGAGGAACAACCTTGTAGTCCCTGTACTCTTTTGGCTACAACTATTACTATCTGCATCTGAGGGCTAAACCTAACCTCAGCCTGATAGCAACTTCTGCTCCCAGACACCTCACAATAAATACACTGAAGACTTAAAACACTATTCCAGGGCGCCTGGGTGGCTCAGCTGGTTGAGTGTCCGACTTGATTTTAGCTCAGATCTTGATCTCTGGGTTGTGAGATCAAGCCCCATGTTGCGCTCTGCATTCAGTGTGGAGTCTGCTTGAGATTCTCTCCCCCTTTGTGCTCCCTACCCCCGCCTTACACACACCTGCACTCCCCTCACTCTTCTAAAATAAATAAATAGGGGCACCTCGGTGGCTCAGCTGGGTGAGCATCTGACTCTTGATTTTGGCTCAGGTCATGATCTCAGGGTCCTGGGACTGAGCCCCACGTCAGGCTGTGGGTTCAGCGGGGAGTCTGCTTGAGATTCTCTCCCTCTGTCCCTCCCCCTGCACTCTCTTTCCCAAATAAGTAAATAAATCTTTAAAAATAAATAGATAAGTAAATATTTGGGAAAAAAACACTATTGCCACTTCCTAATCCAAATCTACTTTTCCTCCTGCATCACAGATGTTACCGTCTATATTTACTTGCTTAACTAGAAACTTGGGACTTCTTTTTCTTTTTAAGCGCAAGTGATTCTCAAATCTGTCTCCCTTCTCTATGCCTTGGTTTGGGTCCTGCTTATCCCTTGCACAGGCTACCATTTCCCTTCCCGGCATATTCTGGTTCTATCTTGATAGAGCCTGAGATTACCAACCTCTCATATCCCCCAAAGCACTTCATCTATATAAGTCGATTACATGAGGGGACTTTATGCCTTATAAATGTGGCTAATAAAGCAAAAAGAGGCTAGTTTTATTTTTTCTGAGAAAAAAAATAAATTAAAAGTAAATTTTAAAAAAGGCCAGTTTTTATTTTTTCTGAGAAAACCCAATAATTTAAGAATTTTCCATATAGCAACGCCTGTGTGGCTCAGTCATTACATGTCTGTCTTTGGCTTGGGTCATGATCCCAGAGTCCTCGGATCAAGCCCTGCATTGGGCTCCCTGCTCAGTGTGAAGTCTGCTTTTCCCTCTCCCCATCCTCTTGCTTGTGTACCTTCTTTCACTCTCTGTCAAATAAATAAAATCTTAAAAAAAATTTTACTTCCCCACAAATATAATTATATGTGTACTAACTACCCATGGTTTTCTTCCACAATGCATTTTTCCTCCAAATGGTTTTCTGAACAAAAGTTCCTTTCAGCAATCTTACCTAAATCCACCCCAAACTTCTGAGGAAGGACTCTGGGGATGTTTTCTAGCAATCCTCCACCGGTAATATGGGCAAAGGCCTTGACGTGTCCTGAACGTAGGACAGGTAGCAGTGAATGGCTGTAGATTCTGGTTGGAGTAAGAAGTAAGTCCCCTGTGTATTGGAGAGAAGAGATAAACTTAGCCTCTGAACATAAAACCAAAGCATATGTCAATAACAATTCTGAAATAGAGAATGATTTGACCCTGCAGGCACGCCAGTTCTATGATAATGTCCAAACAGTGAACTCATAGGGTAATATAATTTATTCCATTCTAATTAACTAATGAAAGACTAACCCATTAAGTGGTTGCTCACATATTTCTAAGGAAAATTTAAATATGAGTGTTTACCTAAGGTCTGATCACCACAGCCTTCAGGTGCTGGAGATGAGTACTGGAGGGAAGATTTTGCTACAATTTTCCTTACAAGGCTAAATCCATTGCTGTGAAGACCAGATGAAGCTACTCCAACAACAACATCCCCTTCAGTGATTCTTTCCAGGTGAGGGAGTTTCTGATCCCGCTCCATGGCACCAACAGCAAAACCAGCTACGTCATATTCTCCCGGAGGATACATGTCAGGCATTTCTGCAGTTTCACCTCCTGGCAGAATGGTGAAACGAGAACGAAGTAGTCACATAGTATTTATAAACGTATCTGGGAAATACTGACACCAGGTACTCTTTTCTCCTTTTTTAAGTTTGTCTGTGTATGTATGTATGTAATTTCTAGACCGAACATGGGGCTTTGAACTCACGACCCCAAGATCAAGAGGTGCATAGTTTTCTGACTGAGCTAGCCAGGCATACCCACTCTTATTATGAACAATTAAACACATGGCTATGTTCCACAAATATTAAAAAAAAAAAAAAGTCCTCTATTAGCTGCCTAAAAGAACTTTCGACCGAGCATGATTTCAAGGGAAATAGTACTAATTTCCACGAAGGAAATGTATAGCCCGAATAGCATTATCATCAAAGAATGAATACTTGGTTGAATATAATGTCATTTCTACATCAGTTTAATTTTACAAATGCTTTTATTTATATTTGATCTTTATAATCATCCTATATTCCAGATGATGGTACGGGCTTAGGGAAGTGATTTAAGCAGGGCTGCTTACATCCAAATGCCCTGGCCTAAGAAGTACAGCATAGCTCACCTTTGTGATGATATGTAAAGATAGGGTCTAGGTAGGCAGTCTCCAAATTATAAACTGTTCTAAAAGATGGTTGAAAAGGTCATTTTGGCTTTGGGGACAGATGTGTCCATGGGAATGGTTAATACAAAAGAGGTAGTTTCATTGCTTGGGCAACCTGCAATTCATTTTGCTCAAAGTTCCCACATACATTTAAGCAATATTTCTGTAAATCTTAGGTACATTTTTTTCTTAGTGTTACTTCTGTTGGAAAATAATGCTTAAGACTTAGAATGTTAGGAATCATCTACTTCTGGTGCAGGCAAGTAAGGAGGAAATAACCCTTAACGTTGTCTGTGCATGAGGACTTTGAGAAAGACAGGAATGGAAATAGTAAACAAAGATCAGGGGAAAAGGTAAGGCCTGGCTTACAGTTTAGGAGTAGGAATCTGGGGGACAAACCCTTGAGGAGGGGCTTGAGGGCAAGATCTAAGTTTTTTTCCGGTAATGTTATTTATATTTTATTTGTCTTATGATGTAATCTGTAGTTTTTCTTCTTAGCTATATAAGTACTAATCGCATTTATACATAGGGCTAAAATATAGTAAAAAGGACATGTGATTAAAACGGATGGTCATACCAAGGAGAGCACATCCAGCTTTTCCACAGGCTCTGGCGATTCCAGCGACAACAGCTTCAGTTGTATTAAGGTCAAGTTTTCCACAGGAAAAGTAATCGAGGAAGAAAAGGGGCTCTGCCCCTTGGGCCAGAATGTCATTGACACACATTGCAACCAGATCTTGACCAATTGTATCATGTTTGTTACACTGCTGGGCAATCTAAAGAAGCACAACACACAACACAGAAGATACGCTCCAAATTATACCTTGTCAGTTTATCGATGGAGACTAATAAATATTGCTATTTGGCCAGCTGCTCCAAACACCTAAAGATAAAATATTAAATTCTGATAAGCTACTTGATCCAAAACTATCCCATTTTTAATTTTTATTTTAAAAAGGTTTTTATTATTTGAGAGAGAGAGAGCATGCATGGGAGGGGTGTGGAGGAGAGGGAGAGGGAGGAGCAGACTCCCTGCTGAGCAAGGAGCCTGATGTGGGGCTCAGATCTGGGAACTCCAGAATGACGACCTGAGCTGAGGCAGATGATTAAGGACTGAGCCACATAGGTGCCCCCAAAGTATCTCCCCATCTTTTTAAAAAAATTTAGAGAGGAAGAGAGAGTGAGTGTGGGGATGGGGGGAGGGGCAGAGGGAATCTCAAGCAGACTCCCTGCTGAGCATGGAGCTGGATGTAGGGCTGGATCCCACGACTCTGAGATCATGACCTGAGAGTCCAACACTTAACAGACTAAGCCACCCAGGTACCCCCAAAGGTGTCCCATTTAATCCCCTCCAATAACGCTTCCATCCGGATAGAGTTTCAACATTGTGTTGTTAGAAAAATGTACATATTTGGGGCACCTGGGTGGCTCAATGGGTTGAGCCTCTGCCTTCGGCTCAGGTCATGATTTCAGGGTCCTGGGATCGAGCCCCGCATCAGGCTCTCTGCTCGGCAGGGATCCTGCTTCCCCCCCTCTCTGCCTGCTGCTCTGCCTACTTGTGATCTCTCTGTTGAATAAATAAATAAAATCTGTTAAAAAATTTAAGTATTTTAGCCATATTTTATGGTTATTTGGTATGGTTCTCTTCAGTGCATATACGTCAAGAGGGGAAAAATATGTATTTGGTATACAGTAAATTCTCTCCTATCATTCACAAAAGGCCTTTAATCAATCACATAGGTATCTGATTACCTTCAGTTTAGTTCCAACACCATCTGTTCCACTTGCCAGAAGAGGATCTTTGAAACCAGCTGCTTTCAAATCAAAAAGACCAGCAAAACCTCCAAGATCAACATCACAGCCTAATGGGGAGGAAATTAATTACTGGCTGCATTGTAATAGACTAAACATGGATATACAAACCATTTCTTCATAAGCATGGCTACAATAAGAGATGCCTTTTCTGAGAATGGAAGAGTACTACGTGCTCAAAGAATTGATCAAGAAAGTAATTATATACGAAAGGGGTAGATATATCTTTTTGAATTTAACATTATGTGTAAGAAATGCTTTCCTTAATATTAGAAACAAGAAAGCAGAAGACTATGGGTTTGGCTTAGACAGGGCAAGACTTAGCAACCTGGCATTAACTTGGAATATTTTCCTCAGTAAACTACAAAGCCCCAATCAATTCACAATGCCTGTCACAGTTAACTAGCAAAGGACAGGCTCTGACTTACCTGGTCTGGAGGTAGCTTTTGCTAAAGGTTTAATTTTCTTGACCAGCATATTTCCAGCTGCAATGTCTACCCCAGATTCCTTGTAAGTCAGGCCCCTAAAGAATTAAATGAAACAAACACATCACCTAAATGCCAGGGAAAATTAGTTTAAGGTATTATTTAAAACAGAAGATGACTTGCATGTATCTCATTGTGCCAGGCCCCATCCGTAAATTTTGATTTAACTGGCCAGGGGTAGGCCCTGAAAATTGAATGTGTTTAAGTAACTGCCCCAGTTGACTCCATTGTATCATCACTATGGAGAACTACTTCTCTTTACTTATTTCTTCTAGAAGTACTTCAGGTACCCACAGGTAGCTAGATATACTGATATTCTGCCACACTTTTCTATTCAATTTTGGTATAGGAAACAATGTCAAAATGGAGTAAAAAAGTAAAAATTGGGATTATATGCACTCTACAAAAAAAAAAAAAATCCCTAAATAATGAAACTGGACTCTTACTGCAGTAGAGAGTTGTGTAAATTTCCTTATAGCTGAAGACAGCAAGAAACAAGGTAAAAACACATTGGAAAAAACAAAACCAGATAATAATAGTGCATTATTCCCTTCTAAATAGGGCCAACATGTTGAAGCAGTGCATCTAAAATTCATGAACAGCCCTGGGAATTCAGTAGCCTTGTCTTACAAAAATGAGTACTTTGGCCTATTGGGATGTAGTGATACATGAAGAAATATGTGAAATTTTATTAGAAACAAGGGGTCAGGGTACAAATAGAGTTGAGAGCTTTGGCAATTAACACCAATGAAATTAGTAGTCTGGGGGTCATGTTCAGAAAGGAAACAAAGTTATGCTGATTTTAAAAAAAACCTTTCTTAGATAGCAGCTGGTATTTTTGCCTCTCATTTTCTTCATCTTTAATTTTACAAATTTAATTTTGCAATTGGTCATTTCAATGGAATCCAGTTATTTTAAAATAAGAAATAAAAATAAAACTTTTAGCATGGTATTTTAATGTTCTTAATCCTAAACAATTTCTAGTATTTAAACTTTAAATATTTGTCTATCAATTAATAGGAGTAAGTTTAATTAAGTTGCTAAAAATTTCACATTTTTTTCTAAAACATTTATCTTATAGACAAACTCAATGAACAATAGAAACTATGATATATACTTAAGAAATCAAAACACCCACATTTGCAATTAATAGTTTATTGATTTTACAAAGGAATAATTGTATGTGCTAAGAAATTATACATTTAAAATGTAAAAATTTTACATTTAAAATGTAAAAATACATCTTAGAAATAAATATAAACACACTAACAAAATGAGACTGCCAAAATTTACAGTATAATCAAATTAAGTTGCAAAGGTAGATGGCCAATATTTTCATCTTTTTTTTTTTTTTAAGATTTTATTTATTTATTTGACAGAGAGAGAGATCATAAGCAGACAGACAGGCAGCCAGAAAGAGAGAAGGGAAAGCAGACTCCCTGCTAAGCAGATAGCCTGACGTGGGGCTGGATCCCAGGACCCTGAGATCATGACCTGAGCCCAAGGCAGAGGCTTAACCAACTGAGCCACCCAGGCGCCCCTTCATCTTGAAATCTTTGACAAAATCATGAACTAAGATGAAAATACAACCGTAATATTAAAATATGCAACTCAAGGAATAAAAATCCTTTCCCCATCTTTATTAATGAATACTTGACAAATGATTACATATATTTCAAATATACAATGTGAAAAAGTCCTTATTATCACTGTGATTTTACTGAACTTTTCTTTTTTTTTTTTTTCCCAAAGATTTTATTTAATTTATTTGACAGACAGGGATCACAGGTAGACAGAGAGACAGGCAGAGAGGGGGAAGCAGGCTCCCAGTTGAGCAGAGAGCCCGATGCGGGGCTTGATCCCACGACCCTAAGATCATGACCTGAACTGTAGGCAGAGTCTTAATCTACTGAGTCACCAAGGCGCCCCTTTACTGAACTTTTCAAACACAAAGACCTACTATGAAACTTTTCCCACTTCAACTGAATTTTTTTTTTAAAGATTTTATTTATTAGAGGGAAAGGGAAAGAGAGAATGAGTGGTGGGGAGGGGCACAGGGGAGAGAGAGACAGAGAAAAGCAGAATCCCTGCTGAATAGAAAAACTTGATGTGGGGCTCGATCCCAGGACCTGGAGATCATAACCTGAGCCTAAGGCAGACAGTTAACAGACTGAGCCACCCAGGCACCCCCATGTGAACACCGTTCTAACTAGTTTTGCCTCAGACTAAATGTAAGTCAAAATTAGAGCAGTTCCATAGAGAGAAAAGATTACAGAATGGCTTAGTATAAGGTTAAGAGAATTTTCTATATAGCCATTTACATCAGTTCTGAGGCTGTGCTAGAACTACCTCGGTAGAAATTTACCTGGGCTGCTGGAGAAAAGCTATGGCGCGATAGCCTATGTCCTTCCTGTAAATGGCTCCCTCAAACTTTATAGTAGCTAGTCCTTTTTTGGCTTCTTCAAGGGCCAAGATGAGATTTTCCCGGATCGCTGTGACCGTAAGGACTCTACCCCCGTTAGTCACCACTCTGCCATCTTTCAGGGCAGTGCCTGCGTGGAACACCTCCAGTCCTAAAGCTTGAGCCGCAGGAAACCCTGTAAGAGAGCACATTTACATAATAATAGTCAACACTTCTGAAGTGGTTTATAATTTCCTTAAGTCTTCTTTTTAAAGTTTATTTTAAGATTTTATTTTATTGAGGGAGAGAGAGAGAGCACAAGTTGGGGAGGAGTGGAAGCAGAGGCTGAGTGAGAAACAGACTCCCCACTGAGCAGGGAGCCCGATGTGGGGCTCAATCCCAGGACCCTAGGATCATGACCTGAGCCGAAGACAGATGCCTGACTGAGCGGCCCTGATGCCTGAAGATTTTTTTCAATAAGACTTTTATTTCACTTAAATGAACCTTCACAAGAATCCTATCAGGAAGGAATAAAGCAACAAGACAGCAAACAGACCATCTCAAGAACAGTCTGTTCTGCTCTAGGGTGGTAACTGTATTATCATTAATCTGTATTATAACCTCATGAAAGAACTATTGTTTCAGTGGGGTAGGAAAAAAAAAATAACCTAAGTCTAAAAAGTTTAAAAACTTAAATGTAGAGCTGATGCTTAAACAATGCTGGGGTTGGGGTGCTGACCCCCCTTCATAGTCCAAAATCCACATATAACTTTTGACTCCTCAAAAACTTAACTACTAACTTAACTACTACTTAACTGCTGCTGCCTTACCAATAATATAAAGTCGAGTAATGCATACTCTGTATGTAATATGTGACATATATAATATGTAACATTATGTTATATACTATATTCTTACAATAAAGTAAACTAGACAAAACGTTATTAACAAAGCCATAAGAAAAAAAATACATTTATAGTACCGTACTCTACAAAAACCCGTGTATGTAAGTACACCCAAGCAGTTCAAACCCATGTTGTTCAAGGGTCAGCTGTACCACTATTCTCTCCTGACAGGACGTTAAGAACTAAAACTTAAAAGGGAAAAAAGAAAAAAAAAATCCCTAAACATCAATGAATAAAACCTATACTTAATCACCTTTTACTTATGAGTAAAGGAATTTCTTTTTGTCACGGCCATACAAATTGCTTTCTTTCTTTCTTCTTTAAATAACCAATAGAATAACTGTAATGCAAAACATATTCTTAATCTTTTCCCTAATATAACAATTATAAAATCTTAAAACAAATCTGATTTAAACTTGGTTTTAGGCCCAATTTAAAATCCCTAACTTAATTTTCTTTCGAATTATTCTTAAGCTCTCATGTATAATTTTACACTTAAAATATTATTAGACCCTATTTTCTATATTCTCAAGTGACCAACATGGCAGTTTTATACAAAGATAACCTCTTAATTAAAACAAAACAAAACAACCCCAACAACACCCCACTCATATACTGTTTATCTTTTTTGGTTACCACTTCTCTTTTAGCATCACAGTTGGTAATATGTTAATGAAGATATTCCCTAGATGTTTTTATAGCACAGGGGCACTAGTCATAGGTACCCACGTACCTACTAGTACTGGGAATACCTAATATTGCTGGCAAAGAAAGGACTATTACACTTGTTACCTCAATCTTTGGGAAATTTCATCAATATAAGGGATCTTGATTCTATCCCTTCTCTTTGTTCAATCAGGAGTGCCTAAGTAGCTCAGTCGTTTGAGCATCCCACTCTTGATTTCCGCTAAGGTCATGGTCTCAGGGTCCGTGAAACTGAACGCTGCATCCGGCTCCATGATCAGTGTGGAGTTTGCTTGAGATTCTCTCCCCTTCCCTCCCCCTCTCCCTGCTCACTTCGCATGTGAGTGTGTGTGCACACACGTACTCTCTCAAGTAAAGAAAAAAAATCTTATAAAAATAAAAGGCAACTGATTCCTGACTGCACAGGTACCATGACTGGGATTCAGAGGGCAATGAACTTCTTGTCTGGGCAAAGCAGGAACCAGAGTGTCTGAACCAAAGACACCGTTAGGGTCTGAGGAAGGCCAAACGAGAGCCTGCCAGGGATCTTGGAGGTCTGCCTTTGGGCTTATGGCACTAGAACTTATTTGGCATTTTAAGACACTGTTTTATTTAATATCATTTAATAAGAGATGCCTCACTTCCTATAAAGAGAAACAGTTTTGAAACTGTTTTAATTCTGTCATCCAAGTGACTATGGGGTACAGTGCAAACAGGAGGTGAGGGTGGGGTGTCTAGTTATGATTATGCCTCTGAAGTTTATCTGATGTAGTTTCTACTAATGATGTGCTGATTTTCCTGAGTTCCTTCTATTATCAGGGCTCTTAGAGGACAGGAGAGAAAAAGGCACACTGAGTGGTACTCTGGAAACTTGGCTAGGCCTATATAGGTCTTCATTGTGCAGGAAGGGACATGGATGGCAGTTTTCCAAATACTGTAATTTTGGATATTTGCATACCCTCATCCAACATGGTTAAAAAACTCCTGAAAGGTTTCTGATGGCCTTAGGCCCCTAAAAGAAGCAGAGCATAGCCTGGAAGGAAGGCCTACCATAATGCTGGTCACTTGTCACTCTGTAATTCCACCTTTTGTTCTCGGATATTCACCTGTTATCTCCACACCCTTGGTGTAATCTCCCGGATAGCCTTTACTTGCCATCACGACAGTTACTGCAGTGCAGTTTTCAAACCAAACAGGCAGATATGTACAGAGCAGGCCATCCAAGATAGACTGAATCACTTCATAAAGATCACTTTTAAGAAGCGGGAGGATCACCTGGAAAAACATGATCAACATGGCAGCTGAGAAATTTTAGTTCTCTCTAGATGATGTATTCACTGAGGTACCAGCAGAACTTGCATATATTCTTTAAAGGTAATTATTTCAAGGCTGATAAATCCTGAGATTAGAAAACACACATCTACAAAATAACACTTGTATTATCTTTAACTATTACTCACTTGGCACTCTGGATCACCGAAACGGCAATTGAACTCCAGAACTTTTGGGCCATCCTTGGTCAGCATTATACCAGCATAGAGAACACCTGCATGGGAAAGGAACAGCAACAAAACCAAAACCAAACTATAACGAACACATTGCGGCTGAAAGTTAGAATTTAAGGTACTAATACTTGAGGTTCTGTACTAACTATGGCAAAAGTTACAATAGTGGTCAAATAAAAAGTGGTGAAAAAAGAGAAACCGGGAAAGTTTTATCAAGGTGTAAAGTCACTCTAAGTATAACGTCCACCATGACGTCAGTGTGCTCACCTGTGTATGGCATACCCTCTTGCTGCATGCCATCCACTGTCCTCTGAAGAATGGTATTTTTTATTTTCAGGAACAAATCCTTAGAAACCTGGGGAACATACAGGAACATTTAAATGTAACTGGATATTTAAAAAAACAAAAACAAAAAACATCTTATAAGCAGTATTATATGAGACAGTGAAAGGGGACAGTGAAAACTATTATTTTTTACTTCCTCAGACAGGCTGAGCACTTTAAATTCATAAGCTTTTAAAACCCTCACATTGATTCTATATAGGCGCCCTAGTTTTCTAAAACATAATAACAGAGCGCCTGGGTGGCTCAGTGGGTTAAAGCCTCTGCCTTTGGCTCAGGTCATGATCCCAGGGTCCTGGGATCGAGTCCTGCATCAGGCTCTCTGCTCGGGAGGGGAGGGGAGCCTGCTTCCTCCTCTCTCTCTGCCTGCTTCTCTGCCTACTTGGGATCTCTGTCAAATAAATAAAATAAAATCTTAAAAACAAACAAACAGACATAATAATAAAAATGAAAAAAGTTCCTCTACCACCTTGAGACCCTTTTGTATCCTTCTGGTATATTCTATGCCTATTTCATAAGCCGAAAAAGAATCTGAGTTTATGGGATGCCTGGGTGGCTCAGTCAGTTAAGCGGCTGCCTTCGGCTCGGGTCATGATCCCAGTGTGCTGGGATCGAGTCCCACATCAGGCTCCTTGCTCGGCAGGGAGCCTGCTTCTCCCTCTGCCTCTGCCTGCCACTCTGCCTGCCTGTGCACGCGCTCTCTCTCTCTGACAAATAAATTAAAAAATAAAATCTTTAAAAAAACAAACAAAAAAGAATCTGAGTTTATAAATTTAATTGTAAAAATTAGACTTAGAAATATTTTTGAAAAATATCTTATTTTTCAAATATTTTATTTTTAAGTAATCTCTATACCCAACATGGGGCTTAAACTCAAAACCCCAAAACCAAGAGTCACATTCCCTAGGGATACCTGACTAAGCCAGTCAGGTATCCCTAGAGATAGTTCTTAAACTAAAATTACATTTCCCCCCCCCAAAAAAAAAAAATTAAAAAAAAAAATAAAAAAAAAAAATTAAAATACCCCCCCCCAAAAAAAAAAAAATTAAAAAAAAAAATAAATAAATAAAATTACATTTCCCAAATAGCAATTTTAATACTTATAGCTTAAAGTAAATCCTGTTTTTAATCTTTTTAATTAAGAAAAATGTATATAAGATACTATATTATCAGCATAAATAACAAATGACTATCCTCAGTGCAAAGAATGGGTGAGTTTCTGAAGTATTAGTTCTACTTATAAGACACCCAATGCAGATTTCTTATAAAAACTGTCCAGAAATTGTTTGGAAACATACTTTATGTACCCACCATGAATTACAGAGACCATAAAAACAAATTAGTCTGACTTGGTTCTCAATTCATCTCAGTTTGGCACACACACATTTATTGAGCACTTATGTGCTGGGCCTTGGATATCTAAAGGTGAATAAAAAATAATTTTAGACTTTAATTGGCTCTCATGGCTTAAATATAGCATGTAGAGAGCAGGAACTAAGGATCTGTTCAACCCATACACAACTTAATTCTTCAGATTTTAGAAAAGGTTTGTTTTAGAATGACACTAGAAGAGATAGTTTTCATTTAATAGGACATCCAAATTGCTGATTAGTAATATTAAGTATAGAAAACAGAAAAGTATGATCCAAGAGCTCTTTGAGATGACTTAAACAATGACTACTGAACTTCAGCTGCGCCTCTGGAAGTACCTGAGGTGCTGGACAATAGGCTCCCATCCCCCCTGTGTTGGGGCCGTGATCTCCCTCCAGCAATCGCTTATGGTCTTGTGCTGGGGGCATGGGAGCCACAGTCCTTCCATCAGTGAAGCACAGACACTGTAGAGAAAACAAAACAGTCCACTTATTAAATGGCAAAAAGTAAAAAAAAAAAAATTAATGAGGGGAACCATATGAACCTTAACTCTTCCCGGGGGAAAAAAAAATTTTTAAAGGAAGTTGAAACATAAATAAGCCTAAGCTATCTAGAGCAAGAATCAAAATATCTTGTATACTCAATTTCTGAGGGATCTATAATTTTTGAGCCAGTTCGAAAAAAAGGTCAAGCTACTCTCAAAGTGAAGTATTTCAACCTTACCCCCCTTAAATAATATGGGATAAAAATCCAAGTCCTCTACTGATATACAGGGCATGATTAAACGAGGATAAGTTTTTTTTTTCACTTGCATCCAAAACATTAAACATACACAAATTCCTTTGTAAGTGTTGGGTTTATGCCTTCAGATGAAGCAACCAAAACAAATCATGTCTTTCTGGGGCTCACAAAGCAGGTAATACAGCTTTTGCTACTGCAGAAAAGCCAAAAAGGTGGATATACATACAGACACCTCTTCTCCTTCCAGAAGTTCTTCAATGACAATTGTTTCTCCAGCTGCTCCATAAGCTTTATCCTTGTACAAAAAAAATAAAGAAAGAAGAAGGCTCTTAATATTTACTCAATGAGTTATTGTCATTTTTCACCATTTGTATTATGAACCAATTCACTAGTATTGTAATTTCCTTTTCCTTTTCTTAGAGCCTTAAAGGAACATATGAATGTTTCCCTTTTTCCCCCCCAAGTTTATTTATCTGTGGCGCCTGGCTGGCTCAATTGGGAAGAACATGTGACTCTTGATCTTGGGGTCATGAGTCTGAACCCTACAGGTGTAGAGATTACTTAAATAAATAAACTTTATTCAATTATTTAAAAGTTTATTTATTCGCTTAGTAATCTCTAGCCAGGCGCCCCATATGAATGTTTCCTATTTTGACACGTGGCAATAATGCAGAGGCAGCACTGGTACAGATGAAATGAACAAATCATTAACACTCTTCTGGGGATCCGGCTTTCTAGTTTCCAATCATGTAACAAAAAAAAGATATATTCAGGGGCGCCTGGGTGGCTCAGTGGGTTAAGCCTCTGCCTTCGGCTCAGGTCAGGATCCCAGGGTCCTGGGATCGAGCCCCACATCGGGCTCTCTGCTCTGCAGGGAGCCTGCTTCCTCCTCTCTCCCTCTCTGCCTGCCTCTGTGCCTGCTGTGATCTCTGTCTGTCAAATAAATAAATAAAATCTTAAAAAAAAAAAAAAGATATATTCATCCTTACCACTTAATTCTTATGTCTGATTATAATTATGATATGCTTGTCTGCTAACCTTATACTAGAGTATGCCTTTGAAAATAGACTTCTATAAGGGAGAATAATCAAGAGGGATAGTAAAACAAAAGTGTATTAATTCATTGCTTCGCTTCTTAGACTTGGGACACCAAGGACAAATACTTTTTGCTTCCATGGATGGTTGAGAATTTGAATGTTCTGTAGCCTGAGGATTTTCTACCTTTCTGCAGCAGACAGCAAAGCATGCTAGTACTTACTTCCAAAGAACAGCATAGTGATTTAGCCATCAGTAGAGATCTGTAAAAACCCTTTTATAGACATGCATTATAATACATGGTATTATAAAAAACTTACCCGTATGTTTGCTAGATAGGTTCTTCTTCCCTTGAGCAACATTTCATAAACTTAAGGAGTACCCAGCACAGTGTGACTTTTCCAGAGGAACAACCTACCTGCATGATCTCCTGTACAGCCCTGCAGGCCTCTTCTTTGCTCTTGGCAACAATCACTCCTTTTCCAGCCGCAAGACCACTGGCCTTCACAACCAAAGCAGGGAAGTCTGCACTGTGAAGACAGAGTAATCTTCAACATCCAAAAAATCCTTAAATTCAAAAGCCTCAAGTGCTGAAATGTAATGATGTGCTATAGCAACCACCAAAAAGCAGAAAAAAAGAATTACTTATACCAACACCATTTTGATACACTTCTTCCCCCTGGGATTTTTTCCCTACCTATTCCTTTATAGTTGTGATCATATGGTACATACAATTTTGCTTTTTTCACTTATAATGAGATCATACAGGCAACATCTTTGGAAGACAAAAGCAGTTGTATAGCGTAAGCATGGAAGGATCCTTAAGAACAAAGTAGCGAATTATACTTTCATTCCAATAGAAGATGTGACTGTATAAGACCATCATAAGCATGAAAATACAAGTCATTTTTGAAAGTACACAGAAGAAACTGTTCTTGGTAATTTCTTCTGTTGGGTGGGACTGGAGATCTAGAAAGAAACTTACCCAAAGTAAGTAACAAAACTGTTACTTACCCAAGGCATCTGGCTACAAGGAAATAATAATATTCATTGTCTAAAAAACCCTGTAGGATGAAGAATGAATAAAGAATGAAATTGACTCAACTAAAAGGAAAACATAACAGATAAAAGGGGTGAGTGTCAACCAAAAAAGGGCAAAAGCATGTGTCTACCACCATTCATTGTTTCATATTTTTGATACAACAGAGAACAAGAATGTCTGGTCTTAAGATTTAGATCTCAGTGGCAATGGCAGAAGGCCAAGTGATGATTCCTCAATCCAGTTAATTATTTATGAAAGAATCAACATCCTTCATGTTGTAAGATGCCACTGTGTTTATTGTTTGACCATAAGGAGTGCAGGACTGCTAACCAAATGTATCTTTTCCCCTAGAAACTCCTCAGTAATGTTAAAAATATTCTTTCTGCAAGGCCACAAGATGGTACAACTACACATGCACAAGGTCCCATTTTACTTTGACGTTGGAGAAAGGCAACCTACACAGCATGAGTTTTTCTGCCATGAATATCATACTATAAACCTGTGACACAAAAGTGACCTGTGTATTTAAATATTCTAAAAAAACAATGGCCCCTCACAGGCAATCTTTTAGCTACCTCATTATAAAGCTGCAGGCTTCTTCAGGTTTGGTGAAAGCTCTCCACCGTGCAGTTGGGATTCCATGTCGGTCCATAAACTCTTTGGCGAATCTCTTGCTGGACTCTAACTGAGCTGCTTCTGCAGTGGGACCAAAGCATTGGACTCCTGCAGATGTCAGGTTCCCAACAATTCCTATGGACAGAAATGAGCAGCTTTAGGTGAACCAAGGTCTCTGCAGAGCCTTCTGACTCTGAAGAATCAGGATTAGACTAAATCTACATTGACATAAGGCAGATGAGTAGTGGCAGAGAATAAGTTTCTCATGTTGCCTACTGCATATGAACAAAAACGTTACTAACATGTGATTCAAACAGAGCAAAAGTTATTTGTTAGAGTCAAACATATGATTATTAACTGGATACCAGAACAGAGCAGAATATAAACATTTAAAATATTTTCCACAGTTCCAAATTTGCTCTTTCATTCATCACATTATTGATGTGTCACGGAAAAAATGGAGACTCCATAAATTTCAAGAAGGTGAAAGCTCTTTTTCCAATGCTGTATGATAGCAGAAATCCTCATCCCCAAATTGAATTGGCTTAGATGATCTCTAAGCTCCTGTTGGCTTGCATATACTGTAACAATAAACAGAAAACGAACTTTACCAGCAGCCAGAGGTGCCTCTGGTCCAACAACTACGAATTCAATTTTCTCATCTTTGCAGAACTGAGCAAGGGCTGTGTGGTCATTGATCGAGATGGCTGTGAATAGAAAAAACACACCCCACCTCACTTGATACAAACATTCTTTAAATTAACAGTCATGCTGAAACATAAGTACTATACTTTGAAAGGCTTATTAACTATTGCTTTTCTTTTATGAGTACAGATGATAGTTGTACCATGAGAAATTTAGAGCCTACTGCATTAGGCTAACCAACGAGGCTCAGTCCTTGATTACTATAGCTAGGTAGAAGAAAATACCAAGAAGCTTCCCAAAGAGGTATTAAAGTACTATCTTGACCATGGTATTCATGTCACATTGATTATAAACAAAAAAATGTCCCAGAGAATATACTCAGAAACTCCCTTTTAATGTCATTTACTCAAGATTTACTGAGAACCACCATGTCCTAGATACTGAGCTAGTCACTAAGTTAAGATGTTAACACAGAGTCCCTATGCTTAGGATGCTTATATGGGAATGTTTGGTAATAAATATGCAAGCAAAAACAACAACAAAAACCAACAAAAAAACCCCCAAACCAAGTGTGAACAAATTAGGCAAATCTGATAATATCAGCTGAACTGAGATACTGTATCTGGTTGAGCTGGAAGGGTCTTTGTGCAAAGATGGGTAAGCTAAGAACTAAACGACAATTTTATTTATTTAAGGTTTTATTTATTTATTAAGGTTTTTTTTAAGGTTTTATTTATCTATTTGACAGAGAGATAAAGAGAGAGCACAAGTAAGCAGAGCGGCAGGCAAAGGGAAAGAGAGAGGCAGGCTCTCTGCTGAACGGGGAGCCCAACGTGGGGCTCGATCCCAGGACCTTGGAATTGTGACCTGAGCTGAAGGCAGCTGCTTAACCAACTGAGCCACACAGGCACCCCTATTTACTTATTTTTAGACACTTATTTCAGAGTGTGTGGGAGAGCACGGTGGGGTGGGGGCACACAGAGAGCAGAGGGAGAGGAGAAGTCAACTACGGGCAGAGCCCAAAGCAGGGCTTGATCTCATGACCAAAATCATGACCTGGGTGGAAATCAAGAGTTCGATGCTCATCCAGGTGCCCCCTGAATGAAGTAACGTAGCTTACTTAGACTGACAAGCCAGGAAAATTTTCTCGATGGAATTCGAAGTAACTAGCAGCAGGACCAACCATATACTGTGTTGGTTCTACAGGCACCTTCCTGCTTCGCTGTATCTGCACCACCATTCTGAAGTTGGCTGAAGTTGTAAACTACTCTGTGACATTTGTGATGTGTTGGGGAAAGTGCAGAAATGGTAGAGTTCTCAAGCTATAGGAGCTGCTTGAGTAGGCTAAGGACGGAGTACCATGCACTCTGCGTTAGTACCTGCAAACACAACTGGGCTGAGCAAAGCCAACAACCTCTGTACAACAGAGTGGCAAGAGAGAAAGGACACACCTAACCTGTTGCTCCAAGTGGTAGCAGGCTCATGGCAATCTTGGGAGATTTTCACGGGCTGGCCTATACCACATCAACTATATCTAGATAGGATGTATCAATTCTTCAATAAACACATATAATACCTCACCTTTGTTACAAAGCTAAAATCCCAGGGAAGCAGATACTTTCTTATTTATCTTTTTCTTTATTATTTTTGGTACTATGCATGCAATTATTTTCTCCCAATTTGGGGCTTGTTGGATCTATGTTTTCTCCACAAATATTAAGTGCCATATAGGGTAATAGGCATGGTGTACACAACGCAAAAACAAGACAGAAGCGTTCCTTGCTTACATTCTAGAGCTTATGTTCTAGAGAGGAAATGAAGAGAGGAGATAGACAATAGAAAAGTAAAGTAAATACATATAATAGTTCATGACTGGAAACAAATGAATTGGGGGGCATGCTTTACTTAAAAACTTTAGGAAAGACCTCTTTGAGGGGATAACTGATAAACTAAGACCTGAATGATGAGGAGCCAGTCATGTTAGGGGTGGAAACAAACAAATACCAAATTCAAGGCAGCTCTGTTTGGGAAACTGATGGGACTGCCTGGACAGAACATAGTGAAAAGAAAACAGAGGATATAAAATATCAGGCTGGAAAGTCAGGCAGAAGCCAGATTGTGAAGGGCTTTGGAAGGAATGTTAAGGAGTTGGAGTCTGAGTTTTATTCTAAATACTACAGGAAGCCACTGAAGAATTTAATGTAGCATAAGAACTGATCATTTTTTCACTTTTACAAGTGAAAAGAGATAAAGACTGAGGTCTATTAAGGACTCAGAATTGCCAAAATTTACATTTAATAGCACTGCTCAACTTTTCATTTCTAAAAATGTATATTAAATTGCCTTTAACCTTAGGCACTTATGACTTTTTCAATGGGTATATTTTGTAAGGTTTAAACTAATTTAAGATAAAGAAATGCCATACTCTGAACAACAAGATACCTAAAATTTACAACATAAGGCAAGTATTCAAATTACCACATAAATTTTAAAGTCAAGGAAAACATTCAAATTTGCATAGCTATCGACTATTATTAACTATTACTCCCCACATTGAAAGGTGATTACCAGGGGCGCCTGGGTGGCTCAGTGGGTTAAAGACTCTGCCTTTGGCTCAGGTCATGATCCCAGCATCCTGGGATCGAGCCCCCATCGGGCTCTCTGCTCAGCAGGGAGCCTGCTTCCCCCCGCCCCCCCGCCTGCCTCTCTGCCTACTTGTGATCTGTCTGTCAAAAAAAAAAAAAAGAAAGGTGATTACCAGTATTTGAAATCTTTTCCAAGGAGGAAGTGCCTGCATTTCCTGGGGCAACCAACACATGTTTGACATGATTAGACTGTGCAAGTTTCCAGGCCAGTGCGTGTTCCCTTCCACCGCTGCCAATTACAAGTACTCGGGCTGCCATTGCTCTCTCTGCAAAGCAGAAATCCAAAAGGGAAATAAAAGCTGTAGAAAAAAAACCAGAGTTTTAATTTTAGAATGCACATACATTAGAAATTGTGATTTCTAAATATTTAAACATCCCAAAGATTCAATTGTGAAAAATTAGGACTCATAATTTGAGGATGACTATACTTCACAAAGATTAGGGAGGTCTGCATGTATATGTAATCTCTACACCCAATGTGGGTCCTGAACTCATCACCCCGAGATCAAGAGTTGCATGTTCTTGCATGTTCCACCGCCCAAAGGGAGGTATTTTAAAAGTGAGGAAGACTGGCCTACAGCTAGGTTAAGGAATGAAATGGTGACTTAGCTTCTAACCTGGTGTAAAAAAACAAAACAAACAAACAAAAAAAACAAAAAAAAACTATGAATAATCATTCTTTAGGCTTCACTTTTCCACCTTTATAGATATATAATCATCAAGCCTCCGTTAAACATGAGTCCTAACATTGCAAATTTAGACCCCAAATTTCAAGTACCTGCTTTTAAGCCTTGTGATACTACAAATAATAGACTTTGAAGTTATAAGTTGAAAGAAATATTTAGACTGGGACCTGTAAAGGACCAGATACTAAATATTTTCACCTTTGAGAGTCATATAATCTCTATAGTAACAAGTCAGCTCTGCTACTGTGGCACAAAAGGAGCAACAGACAATACAGAAATGGACTAACATGGCAATGTCCAGTAAAACCTTACACAACTAGGCAGTGGGAGGTAGGTCATAGCTTGTCTCTGTTCTGCTCTAAGTGATAAAAAGCTACCAGAAGCTTATAAAGAATAAGCATGACGATGTTTATTTATGGACACTGTAATTTGAGGATCTTACAATCTTCACATGTCATAAAAATATCATTCTTCCTTTTTTCCAACCATTTAACAATGTAAAAATTATTTGGTGAAATGTACAAAAATAGGTGGCAAGAAGGATCTGGTACAATGGCCATAATTTGCTGACTCCTGATTTAAGAAGTCAGTGTAATATGTTAGGAAGTTGGTAGAGAAGGCAAAATCAAACTTGGAACAGGTCTTTCTTTGGCTCTGGCATTTGATTCTTAGCAGGATGGATGCAACACCTAACTCAAGTGAGTAGTATGACCTTGGCCAAGCTCTGATGATCTCTAATTCAATTTCTTTACATCTTAAAAGATGGAAATAGGAGATCTTGCCTTCAGAGGCTACATTAAGGGTTAACTGAAACAACATCTTTTGGGAAATGACATTTATAAACAGCTAATACAATTTCTGACACTCAGCAGTAGTAAATGTTTTTATATTTTGTCTTTTACCTTTTTTTAAAAAAGATTTTATTTATTTATTTGACAGACATAGATCACAAGTAGGCAGAGAGGCAGGCAGAGAGAGAGGAAGAGAGAGAGAGAGAAGCAGGCTCCCCGCTGAGCCCTGAGATAATGAGCTGAGCCAAAGGCAGACGCTTAACCCACTGAGCCACCCAGGCGTCCCTATCTTTTACTTTTATATAAACTCATACATTAGGGACAGGAAGAAGTACTAAATGGAAAAGAAAAGCCAAAGGAATACCCTGTCACACTAATTTACTAATCTCTAGAAGGCATTTCATCAAGTAGAAGGCAAACTGAAAACAGAAAATCAATCAGTAACTTCTTGTGTGATGCCAGGATTATACTTAAATCTAAGCTGATAATACAAAAAACTTACAATTTTTGAGCACTTACTTTGTGCCAGATGCTGTTCTAAATACTTTTCACGAACTATTTTACTTATCTAAGAATTTTGCGAGGTAGGTACTATCACCACCTCATTTTACAGAGCAGAAACTAGGTCCAATCATGTTAAATAACTCGCTGTAGGTCACATATCTAAGAGGAAGTAAAGCCTCGATTCCCGTTGTGTGCAATCGTGATTCAGATGCTCTTTTAACAATTGAGATTATGATCACTGAAAACTTGGAAGAAAAAAAATTTTTTGCTAAACTATTGTCTCAGAGAGGTAAAAGCTATTTTAGCAGAAAAGACTTGCCACGTGTGTTGAAATATCTGAAATAAACAGACTTTTTCTGAAATCTAGAGAAAAAATACACTTAGTTTGAATAGGAGAAGCACTAAAGGGAAATTGTCATAGTTCCTATAGCGGATCACAGAAATAGCGTTAGCCCTCAGCCTGAAGGAATCCACTCGAGGGGTGGTTAGGAGGCCCGGCCTCCAAAGCGCTATGGTTCGGTGTGAGACTGCCCCTTCCTTACTAGCTGGGATTCGATGAAGAACTTAACCTTCGTGGGCCTCAGTCATCTAACTGGGTAACTTTAAAACGAGAATTAGAGCCAGGTAGAGCCTCTGCGAAGGGCTTGGTGAATAACACAGGCGAGTAACACAAAGCAGAAACCAATGACAAAAGTAGACTAAGTCTGCTACAGACTGAGTGCATAAACAGAAAAGATGCAATTTAGGCTTACGACCTAAAAAAGGCATAAAGGTACCAGGCCCGACATCTTACAAGGCGGGGAAAGTGGAAGATCCAACGTAAACCTCAGTTAAAAGAAGTGAAAAGCACATGGCCAACCCCCACCCACGGCGTTTAAAAACAGGACCAGAATTCCGACAGCCAAACCAGTTTCTACAGTTTCATCCCATTCCTGACACTAAACCCCCAAATCAAAGCATAAACGTACTTTACTTAAAATCGGAGAGGGCTTCTGCACCTCCACAGGGCGGTCCGACCGCTCGCGCTCGCACGCTTGTCGGCGCGCTCACAGCCCCGGCTGCCGTCGCGCGCCGGAAGTCGGCCCCGCGCAATCCGGCGCGCGCCTCTCCCCGCCCGCCCCGCCCCGCCCCGCCGCCGGCTGCACCACCCCATTGGTCAGCTCGCGGCCGGTGGTGGCCGCAGCGAGGTAATCAAGTGTGATTGCATTTGGCTCTTGTGCGCGGCCTCCGCGTACTCCGCAGTAAAGCTACCAGGACCTTGTGCGTTTATCGCTGTAGTATTAGGCGTCACGTAACGGCTCTCTTCCTCCTCAGGACCCTTCAGAGCTCTGTGGAAGAGGAGCTCCGAAATGCTAAACCCACGATTAGCTAATTGTGTGCTGGTAACGAGTCAGAGCTGGCCAGCTACTGCGGAGAGTCTCCTGACCCGCTTGATATCCCGAGACTAGAAATGCACCAGGCTTTGGACGGCAGGCCGCTTAAGACCTCTGGCCTAGTGCTTAAAAAAAGGGTGGGGGGAAGCGTTAATGAGATGCCATGGGGAAAAAAAAATGGGGGTAAAAACGTGTTCTTTTTCGCACCACAGTGAGGGCGGGCGTTGATTAATGCTTTTCCGGATGCATCTCCCTGCCAAAACAACTTGGCGCCACCCAGAAACGGCGGAGGCCCCGTATCAAGCCACGTAGCCTTTCTTTCTTCCTTTTCTCATGCTCTATAGTCTTGAGCATTTAGTAAGCCTCTTAAGGCTCCCAAAACACTGTTGAGAAACCGACAACTTAAGCTGACACAGTCGCCTCAAGAGAGACTTCTGTAATGGCGCCTGCGTCAGTCACTAACATGGCGGACATAGTCGTGCGCGGCGCAAACGTCAGCACCTCTACCCTAGCCGCTCAGAAACAGCGGAGGAGAACTGGGACGTGCTCACTGATTGGCCCAGCGGCGGAGCGTGCCAGTCTGGACGCTCCCACAGAAGCCAATCAGGACGCCGAGACACGGAATTGGCCGCTGCGCCTCCTCCCGAGGCATGCTGGGAGCCTGGAGGACTAGCGAGGAGGAGTTGAGAGAACGGAGCGGACGCCATGGCGACCAACATCGAGCAGATTTTTAGGTCTTTCGTGGTCAGTAAATTCCGGGAAATTCAACAGGAGCTTTCCAGGTAAACGCTTCCCAGACTTTTCTGCTCCCAAGGGACCGCTAGGGCCCCGTGTAGCTTTCCACGGCACCTTTCTTCAGAGACGCCGTCGTTCCTCGCCTCAGGCCCCGCTACAGCCCCGCCTGGGCCTGGGATCCATTTTCCGGCCCCCCCCCCATCCGCTCCCTCCCTTTCCAGCGAGGAACTTCGCGTTTTCTGAGGTAACCCCAGACTCCCTCTAATAGAACCGAGTTAAGATGCTTAGTTTTCTCTCCCGTTTGGTAATCTCTTCCCTTTAAGCTACTTGTAGGCCTGGTTGTCCACCAGGGACGGGCCTAGTTCCCTTCCTCAGCTCCGCCGCCGCCGCCGCGTTTCCCCTCCCCCTCTCCGCCTCCGCGGATTTCGCCGGCCGGTGCCTATGACCGGAAAGGGTCTCTAACGGCCGTTTCTTGAGTAATCTTAAATCCGCTTTATTATTGCACGCTTCAGATCTTTTGGGGGTCGGGATTCTTTAATTAGATTATTCGGGCCCTGGTGTCCAGTGGCTTCTACCAGACAGCATTCTAATGGATTAGAAATTGAAGTTAAGGCAGCTAACAAATTAATGTTAGGTACTTTGACGAAATGTTCGAGGTGAGGATGGAAGGGGACTTTGAATTAGTATTAATTTCTCAATTTGGCAAGGGGATAGTAGGCTTTGTGTTTAGGTTTTTTTTTTTTTTTTTTTTTTTTTGGTTTTTTTTTTTTTTTTTTTTTGGCTGCTCCCGCCCCAATTGACATATATGACCAACACGCTACTTTTGCCGTTGCTCTTAGACTTTGCGTAGTTTACCTTTGGTTCCACAAAATTTGAACAGGAAGGGATTTCCAAAGAAATAGCTGTTTATTGAGAAAGGAAAATGGTGTTGGTCATGTTGTGTTCGTGGTTGTCTTGGAGTATTTTTGCTTTATAGAACCTAAATATTTGTTCCGGGTTCAGATGTTTTTGCTAGATATATTTTAAAAGTCTAGAGGAAGAGCAGTACGTGAATTTGAAAACGCAATTGTAAATGAAGCGCTGAAATTAACATAGCGTTATTGGGGCAATGGTATGTAGTACAGCTAAAATCACTATTTTTGCGGGGTATATTGTTTAAGTAGGGAATCATACTCATTTCATTGCTGTTTTAAATTTTGTTATATATATTAGTGATTTTCAGATGATGAGAGAAGTCTGGAGGTAAAGGGAGTATGATTTTCCTGAAAACTTTAATAGTTTCAAACGATGATTGTGTTTGCTTGCTGTAATGTCTTTTTATATCTTCTAAAAATCTGTTTTTGTATTTGGAAAACAAGTGTTTTATTGTAAAAATCTTAGAATAAACGAGACACATGATAATGTTCTTTATGTTCTTTCATTTTTTTCCTTGTGTGTACAGATGCATATATTTTGTGAAGTGTGATCTTGTTATGTGTTTTTTTGTTTGTTTGTTTGGTTTTTTTTTTTTTCAACCTGATCGTGAACAAGTTTGTCTTTTTCACTTTCTCGATTGTCTTGGGACCTTTTTTATGGCTTCATAGAATTCTATTGTAGGAATGTATTGTTGGCTATTTAGTTGGTTTGAAATTTTTTTTCTTTTTCAGTAACTGAGATAAATATCTGATAGGTTTAAGATGATTATTTTACAGACTTTAAAGTTGTAATTCTCTTGAGTATCAAATTCAAGCTCTACTAATGTGATCGTGTATGTGTAAGTGCTTAGGAAAAGTGTAAAAGAGCTCCAGAAACTAGGTAAATTTAGAGGAATATTTAATTTGTTAAATAATATGTAATACATTATTAATCTAAAAACAAAATTTGGCTTGTCATTTTAGTGAGCTATATTTGCCATATTGTCTCATCTGTTTTTACATGTATCAGTTTGGGTAAGGAGGCTGACATTTAAGTAGTAAAGAGCTGTTTGTCTGTGGTGGTTAAGAGTAGGAGCTCTGGTTTTGAATGCCAGCTTCACCTCATAATAGTTGCGTGAACTTCAGTTAGGTTCTTCTCTGTGTGTCATTTTCCTCATTTGTAAAATCAGAATGTTAGTGCTAATCACAGAGTTGTGTTAGGATTAAATGAGTTAAGAAATGTAGACCCATGGCTAATTAATAGTAAATGTTAATTATTATTATGCGAGTCATGTTAGAAAACCAAGTGTTCTCAAACAACAGTTAACTACTGAAATTTTTTTTTATTTTTGACCATTCAGACTTTTATCAGGTAGTGGAGAATAATTGTTTGATCTCTTAGCTAATTTTAATTAAATTGAATGTGTTGAAGTTTTACTTAGACAAAATCAATTTTACTTAGACAAAAGATAGTAAAAATGACTAGGTAAATGACATGCTTCTCATTTCAAGATTTTTCTAGCCCTGTGAGTTGAAAATGCATATTAATTTACTATAATAATTTATTGTTACCATAAATAAAATGTCACTTGTTTCCCATGAGTTTTTTTGAATGCCAGAAAAATACCAGGATTCTTGATCAGTGGGTAAAAATTGTATGAATGTATTTTTCTTTTTAAACTTGATATGGTATTTCAGTAATTTTGATCAGTCTAAAATTGATCAGAGGCTACAATTTACCCTTTTTTACTCAATATGTTTGTGGTAACTGTTCCTTGATACTGTTTATGGTGATTGTTTTCCATGCACAGATGTGGTTTTATTGTGGTTGTAGCTTCTATCATAATGTTAGAATGGTGTATTGTACCATGTATATTAGGTGGTATATTTTTCTTTGGATTTGTGATTGTGATCGTCACAGTTTTTCTCTCCTGAGATAAATATGCAAGCAACCCAAATCTAAATCAGTTTAGATTTCTGGTACTATTTTATTATTATTTTTTAAAGGTTTAAAAAGCTGTTTTAAAGCTTTTTTTCCATTAACTTTAATAGTTCTGAAAATTAAGTATGTAAAAATGAAAATGTACCTATTTTAAGTAGATAGGGTGAAGGAAGGATGGTTGGTGGGGAGTGTCATCTGAAAGAAATAAAAAAATGGTGAAATGTATGAACGATGTCAGATTATTTTAATGAGCTGAGTTATAAATATTCATTGTATGGTGTGGTAAAAGTAATAATGAATTTTGATAACTTTTCTTGTCAAGTGGAAGGAGTGAAGGCCAGCTCAATGGTGAAACAAATACACCTAATGAAGGAAACCAGGCAGGTGATGCAGCTGCCTCTGCCAGGAGCCTCCCAAATGAAGAAATAGTTCAGAAGATAGAGGAAGTACTTTCTGGGGTCTTAGATACAGAACTACGATATAAGCCAGGTAAGCTGGAGATAATCAGCTGTCTCAAAAACTTAAAGATTTTTAAGTAGTTAATATTATTTTATTACTGCAGGGTATTTAAAAATCTTCACTAGTTCTAAAACTTCAGTAAGTTTGAGTTTATTTTCTGAAGACTTTATCGTCTTATCCGAAAATACAGTTGTACTGAAACGTGAGCATTGACACTTGATTGCTTTGTTGGTGGAATATAACTTGATTTGATTCAGTTTTGTAGTGACTCCCTACCAGGATTTTGAATGTGGGTTTTCATAGAACAATGGTGTAAATGTCCATTTTGGGGAAGGTACAGGAGCTGACCAAATTTGTGATAATTTTAAAATCCTGGGAGGTTTTATTTTTAAAGCCCAAGCTCAGAGATGGCCTTGTTTTTGCATCTGTTCCTCTTAAAAGTGCAATGAATGGAGAGGAATCATTGCTTTGGTATTTAGTGTTTCGGGAATTATTTAAATAATTGGTGCTTAGAAATGAAAGATCTATGATCACCCATAAAAATAACTATCTTCTGGGGGTGCCTGGGTGGCTCAGTCGTTAAGTGTCTGCCTTTGGCTCAGGTCATGATCCCAGGGTTCTGGGATCCAGCCCTGCACC